GCCGCCGCCGCCGCCGCACGGAGCAAGGAGGAGGCGGAGGCCGGCCCGGACCCTACATGCCTTTATTACAGACTACCGAGCATAAGTGAAATCCATCATCCAGTCACTAGCTACACATGTACAGCACAGAGATCTGTCGAGAGGAAAATAAACAGTCATTAAATTATGAGATATGATTAAATCATCGACCAATAGAAAATTTATATAATAAAGCCAGAAAAAAGGTGTAAAATATAGTTTACAATAATTATTCACATTCAAGGCTGTACATCAATACATACAACACCATGGCCCCGAACATGAATTCAATCCAAATAATTCATATATTAGAATTTAAATAACATAGACTGAACTAGAGGCCAACAAGAGCCAGCAAATAACCTTATAAGAATAAAAATACAAAAGTGTGTATCTTATCATTGCAGTATCTGCTTCCATTTTCATATGTTCTTGGGGTAGGGGAATTGTGTGTGAGAGGGAGAGTGGCTGTTTGGGGGGGTGGGGATTTTTTCCTTTTTTCTTTTTTTTTTTCCTTTTTTTTTTTTCTCCTTTTTTGCTTTACCTGTACATCACAGTTACAGCTACAAACCAGGTAGAGAATATTATACACATAACTGACTGCCACCAACCTGAAAAACACTAGCATACAACTATCAAAACTGATTATGGTTCCTAATTTTTTTGTCAGATACAGCAATTTTAAGTTCTGCCACCATTCAGAACATTTGCCACATCCAATCAGAGCTGGTACATGGTCATAGGATGTTTTGTCAAGTGGTAACCATCCAAATTCACTGCCATGCAGACAGACTAGGTTACTGGGTGCTTAAGAACTTCACCATGTTCACTGTATAAAGTCATATTTCTTAGGAAAAAAAATGAACTCCTCAATTCATCACGGTCCTCATCTTAACTGAAAATGTGCCCTTTTGGGTCAGAGAATTACTTGCCTGCAAGCGCACTTGATCAACAGATGGACAATGTGTGTCATGAAGCTTTGCAGGAGGAACAACTCCTTTTGATTAATAAAATATTTGCCTAAAATACTACAGGCATTCAGTAAAACTTAATATATAAATACCACACCTATTTGTGTAATTCCCTAGTAGAAAGAATAATCAGAATCCACAGACCACATCTTTAGACAACTATTAATACACAAGTTTTTCATAGATGAGGTGTTCAAATTAAGTGTTCTTTCATCCACAGACCAAAGGAAGTTGTTTTGACTTTGCTAAATCATTCAGAAGAAAAATTCATGTGTGGAAAATCCCTAGGATTCTTTAAAGCTCCCAATACAAAATTTAGTAATGTTAAGCACAGTCATTAAGCATGTTGTATTATGAAAGTGGAGTAGATGCATCACATCTTTTTTCAACCTGCTGAAGTTTTTCTGGGATTATATATAGCAGATACACTTCACAGTTAAATCATGGTAGGAGGAGAAAAACAATCAGTGGAGTGCAGTACTATTTGGTAGGTTATGGTGTCTTCAGCATCTACTGCTTAGCAAATGACAACTTATTAGCCCGGGTGGCTAATAAGTCATAATATAATAAGTATAATAATTAGTCTGCTCCCACTGCTTTGCCATCACATCTGAAGTTGAAAGAGGTACAAAAGTCATCTTCAAAGTCCAGTTTTGAGCAGGAAATATTTTAAGGACAGTGGCAATTGAGTAATTTCTCCATTTTTATCAAAGAAGTTCCAAACTTTCCATGACTGGGCTAGAAACTGAACAACGTGGCTCAAAAATCCTTTCTAATAGTAGTACTTCAGCCTTTAAGCTCCACCCAATACAAAAACGATGCAACAACCACTTTCCTGAACTTCGAATCTCAAACAAAACATGAGTCACATCATTAACCACCAAAATCTTTACAAATGATAGGTAAGTGTTCAATTTGCACAAGACTGAATGAATTACGAGACTGCTTTTTTTAATAGGGTTGCAGTGAGGAGCCTGAAGAGTCTTTCAGTGATTAGCAACCTTTTTCTGCTCGGAAAGACCGCAGATTAAGAGCAGGGAGAGTAACTTGTTTATCTGCAGCTTTGAAAAAATCTCCCTCTTGTATTTGATTCCATGAACTCCCATGAATCACTGGAGTAGTCTTCAAGACAATGATTTGAAATTATCCCATTCTTCAATTATACACATCTAAAATAGGAACTAGCCCTTCATAGTATGCAGCACCTTCCAATACACATTTAAGTGGGCAAACTGATGAAACTTACTTAAATCCACAGTTGTTTGTCTTGCCTCACCCTACCCTTCCACCATCTTCCAAGAACTACAGCTTTCACTTAAAGTCAGAGAAAGGCAAACACCTCTCCCAGAAAAGCTTCTGGTCCCTTCCCAAAAAAGCAGCAGTTGAGGAAGACTCAATTCAGAACATTAAAGTTCTGAAGGGAAGAATGCCTGTAAGAGAGGCTCACAGTTTTCTAATGATGCCATTGTCAAAAGAAAAAAAAAAAAAGAAAAGAGAAAAGGAATACTAGAATACAAACATCAATTTTCCAGACTTCTGCAGCTTACTGCTGTCAAGATTTCTTTGGTTGAAAGTTTTTGGGGGCAGGGAGGAAGTAGACAGAGGAGTTTCTTTTACGGTATGAAAAACCAAAGGAAGTATTTTGTTATGGCAAGATGACTGCACATCTAAATGTTATAGAAAACATGTCTGAATATTTTTAGATTTCCACATATTTAGCTGAAGCTAAGGCCAGTGGAGATCACTCTAGTTCCTACTGAAGCTAAGAAATTCACTAGTAGCAGAACAACTTTGCCAGAGACTCTTGGAAGCCAAGTTTTGGCACACTGAACAACTGCAGTAGCATCATGAAACTCCATCACTGCCAGACTCTCCAGTATGAAGTTGGGAATATGTCTATATCTCTATACCAAAAGCTAAATCCAGAATCTGTACAATTCCCTCTAGTGGACCCAACTTACAGGTGGAATTCAACAGCTACAGAACAAATGGGTACCACCACCACAAACTCAGACTGCATGTCATCTTGGTTATGATGATAACTATAGGTTTAACAAAAGGTGTACTGCGCTATTCAGATTTCACTGGCGAGGAGTCTGCCTTCTATGTGGTGAAATTTCTTATGATGGAACGTGAACGGTCTGTTTTTCTTATCTCGGACACCTTAGCTCCCCTAACACCGGGCACTGTAAGCTAGTGATTTACTTTTCTCAAGCCTGTGTATATGGTGGGATAACATAAAAGACAACTGCAAGAATATAGTTTCACCAAATGAAAAAGCAACTACACTGTCTTCTTTAAAGACCGGAAGAGACTAAGAACTGAACTGTCATCAAGCTTAACCACACAATACTTTTTTTTTTTTTTTAAAAAAGAATGCACAATAAACCTCCCTCTCCCAGTACAACAAATAAATCTAGCTTTCATGCATTTTCTGAGACATCTGATAAGCCACAAAACAGCAGCCTGTGAGTTTTCTTAACATTACAGCTGAACTTTTTTCTTTAGTGGAAGGAAAAAGCACTTCATAACAGACCTCAAGAGGCAAAGAGATGGTGGTATTTGCAGAAGATGAATAAATAGGTGTGATGTTTATACTGCTTTTAAAACAAGGAAGGAATGCCTTTGCCCAGACCTGGGTCATCCCTCTCTGCAACGTTCAGGGACATGGGTGTGTTGAAAACACCATTAGGGAAGTCATTTTAGCATGTAGGAAAAGTTGTCTTTGCTACATTGCAAGAAATGTTTGACCACAAAAAAGCCTTAATTTGAAAAGGATAAAGGAGACTGATATGAAAAATATTTTCATTTTATAGATATGCCTTAAGTACCATACATTTTCCCCTTTGTATTAACATTTTCATTTGAATTTTCAACCATTCAGATTACTGTATGGGTCTAACACTTAAACTGTTTAAAACTTTTTTCGGAATTGCTAAAAGGTCTGAAGTATTTGCCCAAAGACCAAAAATAGGATTATTTGTACATCTCATTATACAAAGAGACAAAAATCAAGTAATCAATTGTACAAAGTTTTCACTCTTCCTTCTCTACCCAGGTAAATAGGTTGGCCCCACTAAAATGCACAATACATGCACACCCTGGAAAGAAAGCTTCCAGCCCTCATCTCCTGAAAAGGTGAAAAACTATTTTACTACTTCAACAGTAACTTTTTTTTTTTTTTTTTTACACTAACTAGTTAATTTTTTAGTTAGCATTAGTTAAAAGCATGCTGGTAAGTTTATTGTCCCTTGATTAAACACACGTATGCATCAAATTAAAATTAAAATTCAAAGTTTAAAACTTTATATGCTTCAGAAGCCAACATTTCAATTTTAGAAAACTTTCAGTGCCATGTTCAGCATTTTACTCTCTCACAACCTGTATCATCGGAGTCCATCTGCCAGACACATACATCTGATTCATTCACATAATTATTAAAGTACCACATAAATCCTGCAACCAGAACTATATTAGGAGTTATGCAAGGGTGCAACTGACCTGGCTACAAATGCCATATACCAATAAGCTAGGGGACAGAGGGGAAAGGAAGAGAAAACAAAGAGGTGATGCTTAGGAGAGGCATATAAAAGCTCCCTGATGAAATACAGTTTAATGATAATCTGAAAGTCACAGAAAACTCCAGCCCCATAAAATGTAAGGCTGGTACATGATTTGGGGTGTGTGCGTGTGGATTGGTTTTAACTGTTCTTAAGTGAAGCTGGTAATGCAAGGTCTATCCACTAGTTTGCAGCAGAAACTGAGCTGAAGTGCACAAAAGCAAGATCTTCATTGCAATGATATGCATGTGGAAGCCTCAACAGAAGCACAAAGAGCAAGCAAAGCGACCCTGAATTCCATTAGGTTTTTGCTTTTTTTAAAAAAACAAAACAAAACAAAAAGAACAGAGTATTTCAGACATATGCTTCCCCTTGAGATGGGTAATAGGTGGGTTGGGAAGATTCCTCTGATCGGCTGCACGTGGAGTTCTAGCAGCAAGTAGGGAGACTGGGAAATTTTGGATGAGCTTTACTATTTAGCAGCATTCTGGTGGTATCTGTGCCGCCAAACTTCATGTATCTTTTTGCACCATTTATGAGCATTCCCACTTGGGTCCATCAGGTAATATGTCCTGTTTGGCTACAAGTGAACAATATTTCAATGAGTATTCCAAACACAGTTAAACCAAAAAGCAGCAAATATTCTGCACCTACCAGTAAAACAAATATTCAGAATCAGTTCATCATTTTTTCAAAAGTTTAAATTTAATTACAATTATATAACAGCATATACTAGTGAGATAAACAGTCAAACTGACAATATATTGTTAGTATACTGCTTGGGAGCCACTCTATATAAGAGGGCTATATTTCAAAAGTCATTCTTAAGAACTTCTTTTCAGACTACAAAATCCACTTTAAATAAGACTTCAAACTTATTTCAAGAAAAGACGTATGGTAGTTCTTTTTTTGTTAAGATATTAAGGCTAATAATCTACAATCAACGTAATTCTGCAATTAATACTCATATTAATAAGAATTAAGAACTAAATTTTCTCTGAAAAAAATTTTCTTTTCTAACAATTCAAAATAATTTTCTAAGAATCTTAGTGTAACTTGTAAAAAAATTAAAATCACTTACTGTGTGAACAAAAAATGTCTTAAAATTCTTGGCTTCCGGGCGCAACTCTAAAGACCACGGAATTTCTCCTTTTAGAACTTTGTTGACAGGATCCACGTAATACAGATGGGGCCCTTCTGTGAGCAGCAACTGGCGTCGACGTGCAAACAATCCCTAACAAGAGAAGTAGCAACAGCAATATAAAATGCATAAAGATAAAGAATAAAACTACTTAATACTCCCAGATCTGTTCTTTTAGGGTCTATGGGATATCGGCACTTATACTGATACTCTCAAGATGAGGGTTACTATGAGATTATCAGCTATTTAGTGAGGAAGATCTATAGACTGTAAAACAGCAATATTAACATGTTCTGGTTTGCAAAACAGACTTCTTTCTTGCGGGGAGGGCAGGGGAAGACGGGGGATGTAAGTTCCTAGATCTCTGAACTTATCAGAAGCAGAATTAAAACAGCTCAGTCAGAGAACAGTATGTTTGACTTCTGCGGAGTTTCTTTTGCTTTACCTATATGACCTCATTGCTCTTTTTTCTGGGTCTCAGTGCATTAATACCATATGGCAAAAAACAAGCAGTATTTTAAAAAAGCATGTTCAAGTTTAACAAAACATAAAACAGCTAGTTGTACAGAATGAAGCAAAACAGTATCTTTTGTCAAAGATTCCTGCACAGAAATAAGTAGCCATGACTTTCTGTAGAAAATAAGGAGTAAAGAGGTAATAACTTTCATGAAAGACAACCCACATTCCTGTAAAGCTGACACAAACCAAGACTTGTTGCTCCTATGCACCATGTTATAGTTAATACTTAAAGCTGTTCTAATGCCATCTCCTCTGCCTCTGTCAGGATATAGGCACTAATAAGATCCAGAAAAAAAGAATGACAGTTCAGGACAACATGCGCGTATATTTTAGCTCCAAATATTAATGGCTCAATCCACATGCAGACATGCATCGACACAAAGTATTTACTGGACTATCAGATAAATAGGCGGAGGGGAAAAGAAAATTTACTGCAGTTGTGAAGTGAAAGCACTAATAGCACATTTGCTTTTTGCCTTTTCTAAAAATCAAGAGCATTCCACAAAATTAAAGAAAAAAAATCTCTTTACAGGAAAAACTACATCTATAAAAATAAATGAGTTTGACACTTAAAATTAGGTTAAACAAGGAAGTTTTAGAACAGATTCTTCATCTACACTGCAACTGTGCAAGACAGTGACAACTGAACTTTCACTATAGAGTATTAAAAAAAGCCAAAATACCCTTACCTTTCTTTTGTCTACTGGACCCATTTTTAGGATTAAGTTGTTTTCTACAAACTGATGCCTTAAAAGAAAGAAAAATAACTATTACTCCACAAGTAATTCTTCCACAGAACAGCCACCATTTTTTAAACTTGGTAATTTTCCATGTCTCTCTAGCAGTCTCCTTTTCCTCCAGAGTCCTGAACAACTTTAATAGATGAGTTTTGGCCTCTTCCTCATTCCATGCTAAACAGCCATTTTCTAAAATCTGTCAGAAAAGTCACAAATGAGAAACTCCTCTCAAGAGCGAAGAGAAATGCTACTGAGCACAAGATCTGGAGGTACTGTGATTAGGTATCAACAGAAAAGTATCATGCCAAAAAAAAAAAAAAACCCACAAACCACCTTGTATCAACTGTAAGGGAGAGAGGGAATCTAACTAGTTCTAGGTCTCTGTAAACGAACAGACTTCCCAACACTGGTGTAGTGATATTCCTGACTATCCTGTACACATCCTTCATGTCTTTTAGACCTTGTAAAGTTTAGAAATGCAGTATTAGAGATTTTTTGATGCTACTGCTTTAAAATTAGACATCAAGAAAAATCTAGTTCCTAACTGTTCACTTGAAAATACTAAGATTCACAAAAATTAATTTGAATCAAAATGATGTCTTCCTCAATTCCTTACTTCAATGCAAACAACAGAGAGCTATATTCAAAGATCTTACCAAGGATTTCCACCAGCTTGCTTTGCCAGAAGTAACCTCTTCTCATCTTCAGAAAACTGTAAGTCCAGCTCAAAAGAATTGTTGTCAAGATCATGAATATACTGTTCAATATTGCCTCCTGATGTCTGTGGGGGACTTGTCTCTGGGGCAGACAAGGAATGGGAGGAGGCAGAACCAGAAACTTGCATGCAACCGAACTGACTCAGAAGATTGTCATACTAAAGGAGGAAAAAATTCGAAGTTAGAAGATTGCTTGCTTGCTTGCTTCATTAAAAGTTTCTTTTGCATTGAACAACTAGGGTTGCTTTTATTTTAAGACTTTGCTTTGGTTCAGCATGCTTTTGAGGACAAAGGCAGCCTACTCTGTAGATGACAGGTACTTCTCACAAAAAAGCCTGCTTAGCTAAAAGCAAGCAAACCAGAATGTCTTCCAAACAGCAGCTTCATCAGAAAAGCGTCGACTAGTTTAACTTTTGCCCACTAGTTGTTTATTAAATTCCATTAATGGAGTCTTTTAATTAAAGTATAACCAGTAGTAGTTTTAATGCAAATATTTGATAAAGCAATAATTATGCTTTATGATGATCTCAAGCAGCATCAGAGCTGATTATAGCAAAAGAGAAACATACATTTCCATAACAGTCTTCATCATCCTCTGACATGGCAGGTAGGTATGCTGTGAGTTTTGGGGGGGTCTGAAGATGTAGGTTCTCCCATGCAATGGATTCAAAGAAGGGATGAGCCTTAAGAGGTCCATACCCTCCCATTTCTTCACATCCTAATCTGTTGGTAGCATCCAGAACCTGAACAAATTAAAATGAAGTTAACGTGCATAAAATGAGAAAACCTTCCAAAATTCACATTAAACCCTTGAACGACGGCTGAGCACCATTCACATTTGTACTGTTACGTGCAGAAACTCTTAAAACCAGTTGGTCTTACTCCCTCGAACATACATGTCTAGAATACCAGGAGACTGATTAAAATAAAAGAGGTTACTTGTTAGTATGTCTTGTCAGAACCATTTTGTATTAGATCAGCTTGCATAGCTGGAAAAGGGGGCACTTTTGGGGGGCCCCACAATTTTTCAGCTTCGTTTTTTTCATAAAACAAAGCCAAGCAAACACACAGCGAAGGCCTGATGGAGCATTCCTTTAAGCCTAGCCTAGCATCACATTCTGGCAATGCAAGACAGCTATTGCAGCTGTAGGTGGTGCCAAAGATCAACCTCTCAAGCACCCTAAACAGCACAGTTCTCAGGATGTTGACACAACCTGAACCTCACCACACAGTGTGCACTGGATTGGCCATAGAACTGGCCTGCATAGAACTGTAAAGGGTTCCATAGAACTGGAACCCTTTACAAGGGCAGTACTCATTGTCTATCCACAGACGCAAGTCACAGAGGATTTTTTTCCCATGCTAATATGCCAGACTATCCAGCTTCAAGTAGCCTAAAACAAGTTGAAATGTTTTCTGCATATTCACTTTATTATCATTGCTATTTCTCGCTAAGACAACTTTTTTTCCTCTTCTGTCAAACATTCACATAGAGAGTAACTATTTGGCTGATACAGTAATGAGACGTGGATTTCAGTGCTCTAAAATGCAAGGCAAGTTGATTTGTATTGTAACAAATACATCTCTCTGTGATATACAGAACACTGTTTTCAAGGAAATAATGCATTACGCAACTTGCTAAGAATTAAGCGGAGTACCATGTAAACCTGAATAGTCGAATCTTGAATTTGACATCTTGAATGAATTTCAATTTTTGTATGTGCTACACAGTATTTAGAACCATTTGCTTTCACTTGACTGAGACATATATCCTGTCCACACTTTAGAATTCAGATACAAAAATCTAAGTGCTGTTTAATAATAGATATCAACTCCCCTATGCAGTCAATAATGCTCACAGTTGTACTTACTACAAGGTTTGTGATAGAGTGAATAAAAACTTCGGGAAAAAGGAGCTACATGATACACTGAATGAATCCAATGTCATCAAATCATTTAAGAGGAGCAAATATTTACCAATAGCTTTTCTACAAGGTCTTTTGCCTTGGGAAAAAATTTTTCTGGAAAGTCATATTCCAACTTTATTATCTTCTGGAATATAAGATACTCATTTCTGCAAAAGAGAAAAAAAATAGCTCTAGTTATTAGTTCTCCATGATTCTTTCATCTTAGCAGTGTGCAGGATGGATTAAACAGGAGCGCTACAAGCTAAAAGTCAAGTTCCCATAAATCCCTCTGGCATACTTAAGGGGAAGTAGTCTTCTAAATACGATCCTGTAAGCACTAAACGCTTGAATAATAATGGGAAAGGTTCAAATGGCTCAGTACAGGGAGCCTCATACCCTCTTTGTGAAGACATAGATTCCTTGATGATATAAACTATATGGGGAATGCTAGGATACTTTTAGCAACCTCTCAGGAACTCAAGCTATACTTGTCTTAGCATCTTTATGACTTCAAAAAGGAAATCTAAATAATTACACAAGTAAAAGCAGACATGTCAGTAATACTGAAAGTACACTACAGTAAGTTATACTTCAGAATTGGGAGTAAGGTAAAAAAAACAAACACAAGTCAATGCATTCATGCAACTGAAGTCTCTTACCCAGCTCTAAATGGAGGCAATCCAGCTACAAGCTGATATATTATACATCCCAGAGCCCAGAGGTCAGAGCTTTGAAAGAAAGTGGGGGGAGGACACAGAAAACATATAGCCGTTAATATTTTTCTATATTAAGCCTGTAAACTGTATGTAAAAAAAAAAAATTTAATCGTCTGCTAACCTAGCATGAACAAGGCAGACAAGCCTTCCATTTAGCATAATTCCTATATAATTTCACTTTGTTCCTTGACAGGAGAGCAGGCTAACAACAGTAATTCAAAACAAAAAAATTACTAGCCCATGTACAAGATAGCTGAATAGTCAAAGAGTATAAATTGAGACTAAAATGAAGACTTATTACCCACTACAGCAATTCAAAGTTGAATCCAACTCAATGCAGTGTATGCTCCACCAGAATTAAAATCCTTTCCCCTATATATTTATATATAAAAAAACCCCACACAACAAAACCCCCCAAAAAACACCTTTATCACTGAAAGCTTTCTTTCAGACACAAACAAAATGGCAGGCTGTATGGCACATGAAAGGAGAAAAGGAAAAGTTTTAGTGTGGTGGCCTGAAAGATATTTTTGAATTACTTTACCCCCAATGTAAAATGTACTTTACCCCTAGATTTGGTAAGGCTTAGAAATCCTCATGGAAGACTAATAATAAAGACTGCAAGCTACTCAAATTAGAAGTCTTCTGTAAAGATGAAGCATGATGTAACTGCTAAAAGGACATCGTAGCCTGGTGAAGTCTTCCTGCTAGCCAAATCATTCAAAATCTCTTTAAAAGTAGCAAAGAGGAAAGTCTAATGCTATTTATATCATTTCAAGAAACACTAGCACAACTTACCATGGTTATTCACGTAAGAGACATCTTTTCCCCCACATGTTCTCAGTGATTACTTTGAATGGTTATTTTTCCATCATTGTAATAAAACACACGCACAACAACCTTTAGGTTATCATGAAGAATCAATTTAAGTGAGATTCCCAGGTGATATTTCTCAAGTGTAACATTCATACAGGACACAGAGACAAACTTTAAACCACAGCAAACCAAGTAAAGCTCAGAAAAAACAGGAGAAGGGCTACAGCTTTCTTAGACTTGTCTTTAGATCAACTCATACTAACAGACAGGACATGATGTTCTGTTGCATTACAGCAGGAATTTCCATATTAGAGCCAGCTTATATAACACAGAATTAAAAAAGATGATTTCATTTGGCTAGAACAAATATATTCTGGTTTATTATTATATAGGGGAAGGGAAATTAAATTTTTCAGCACAAACTTCCTTCTCCTGGAAGCACCTCATCCTGTCTGTAGGATCCCAGAAGGAAAGAACCACTGAGAAAACTAGCCCTCAGACAAGGGGCAATACTCACTAAGGCAAGGAGTAATACTCACTAAGAAAAGATACTTCAAACTATCTCTAAGAAATAAAGAAACCTTGTTTCTTTGTAGTGCTAAATACTTTTTCCATTTAATAGTGTCCTGATGGAAGCTAGTACAATTCTCAGACACAATAGAGTCTTCTCACCTTTTACAGGCAGATTTCTCTGTCAACAGTTCTGGAGAAACATACTGTGCTGTCCCTACGAATGAGTTTGCCCGTGCTGGGAAGAGAATTAAAAGAGGTAAGTAAATACATACTTATAGGGAAGACAAAGAAAAACACTATCGAAAATTATGTAATGTTACAAAGAACCCACAGAGAACTTCTTTTCCCTTCCCATCCACAAAATCTACTTGGATAAGACAAATCAGTTTATCTCACTGATCTGTATTCGGTTCATGAAATTAGGCATTTTTTTTTTTTAGGGAAGGAAAATCAAATCTACTAATGCAAGCTTACTGCATCCTGGTTAAAAAAAATTAAGTTTATCACAAAAAATATCGTTCAGATATGTCAGAATTATCCCATTGCCTAAATTTTCAGGAGCAGAAGTCCATCAGTTGACATCTGACATAGTCTAAGCAGAAACAGAGTCAAAATTGTTTTAAGATATCTAATTTTTTGTAATGATACTCAAAGGTTGTAATTTCATAAATTCATTTTACTGACATTCTCAAGACCACTTCCTACAGTTAGCTAAGCCACGTGACAAGAAGTGAATAACTGCATACCTTGTCTGCTATCTGCAGATAGTACTTTTGCTGTTCCGAAGTCTGTTATTTGAATGTGCATGTCTTCATTTAGTAAAATGTTCTCTGGCTTAAGGTCCCTGAAAAAAAAGTAGATTTTTATATTAAAAATAGCACATAAACTAACATTGCAAAACAGATTAGGTGGTTTATATACATAATGTAATCATAAATGACACAGATATTCTGTAAATATTGTTATGCCATCTTTTCCTTGACTTATAGTTGTCAAGACGCAGACTGATGCTAACAGATTTTGCAAAGCTCGCTCATTTCCATTTTTTCTAAAAAGACCTGAAGTAATGAATAGTTAATCATAAAATGAAGTCACTGTGCACTTAGTTCAACAAAATCCAAAAAGCAGTTATTCCCAAGCCTTAACTTAAATAATTTCTGACAGACTGATATGGCAGTTAAGATATTCTAGACCCACTTACTCACAGCGCAGAACTTCACTTAGTCAAACAAGGACAAAAAAGCAGTGAATGAAACTAAATGTCTAGAACAGATGAAAACTGTAACACACCTCCACTCTTAGAGAGTGGCATGTTTACCTTTGTCACTTACAAATCCATGTGTAATTTAAACATATACATACACATACATCTATATCCCCATACTAACCTTTTTCAGAGCAACTTGTCATCGTAAAGTGCTGCTGTCTGATGTCATATTTCCTTAGGCAGCAGAAAATTCCAAGAGTTTTTAGCCACTGCTAGGGCTATGATCTTTTAATTAAATAAACTTTACAATGAGTTCTCTGATTACACAATTATACCACTTTGTTTTGAGCTTCACATAGTGATCTTCATATAAAGGCAAGCCTAACACTTTTATAATACAAGATTTCCAATACAGGCTCAGTAAGACTGACAATCATGCTCTATTTATTTTGGAAGCATTCTCTCAGTCTAACACATACACAGAATAACAAAAGTAAAATTGGGAACCCTTGAACTTTTTTGTAGCAGATGTCCCATTTCAAATTCCAATAGAAAATTTTACACTTTCAGTGATTTCCATATGCAGCCCCTTCAGATTCTATTCCCAGATATTTTCAGAAAGGTATTAGGAAAATACTTTGCCTTTTTAAGTATAACGAAAAAGTGAAAATGCTATCAGAATTATGATTAGCCAGCTTTTTGACAACCATCATCAATTGTTCCATGAACAACTGCTTGGGAACCTACAGATGCAACAGATTTCCTCCCAAATCCAAGCTCTGTGGCTCATACTTCTCAGACTTACAAGCTCATTTGAATATCGCACCAAACAGTTTTAATTTGAATTTACTCAATACTGACAAAACATGCTTATCCAGATAATATCAACACATCATAACAATTGTAAAGGTCCTATTAAAAACTTTGCTAATTTTCACCATTTACTTAGTTCTTGTCTAACCGTGTGGAAATTGTTCACTCAGTGAAAACTGACTTGCATTAATTTACTTTTACTGATGATGTGCTATACACTAATTCACAAACCAGCAGAAATCTAGTTGTTTTTGCTACATAATACCACAGGAAAAAAGGTTAATCAAAAAGCCAACCTCTGTTTTTAAATCATCTAGTTTGAAAAAGACAAGAGAAGCTTTTGGGAATGCAAGTCCTACGCCAAAAAGCTTTTCTCATTTTTCCAGCTAGATCAGTTGGTCTACTAATAGAGACTCCCTCGCCTCCTAAAGTTCTCTTTGCTTAACTCCCTGTGTTATCTTAACAGTACTTCCACCAATGAAACGCTATTACGTTCTCATTAGCCTTCATAAAGTCCATGTTTGGTTTAGGTTTCATTAAGAAACATTCATTAAGAACATCTCTAGAAAAATACCGTGTGCATAATCAAAAGCACGCTGTTCTTGATTTTGTGTATTACCTGTGAATAATTCCCTTCCCATGCAAATACTCCAGGGCTGACACAATTTCAGCAGTATAAAACCTGGTACAGGTCTCATCGAATGAGCCAATTTTGCGTATATACTTTAGAAGCTCTCCATTTTTGGCATAGCTAAGCCCAAAATCTGAATGTAAGAAGTTAAGGTCTATCACTAGGACATTTTAAAATAAAAATCTCCGCACCTTATTCCGAAGACAAAAAACAAAAATAATGAACAAAAAGAAATGAACAAAAGTTGATTAATTTGAAACTTTACAGAGTAACAACCCAAAACAATTTATTATTAAATGCATTCAAAGCCTAGGACACAGGTCCTAATTTACCATAACAAAGACTAAATAGGGGTTAAAATTGTAATTTTTCCAGAGACAGTCATCTGAATAATTGATTTAAACTGTATACATAATTGTCTACAAAGACAACCATTTACAATCGTAATGAGTACTCAATCTAAGCTTATTATTGCCCTTCATCTGGAAAGTTACAAAAAGTTAGTCTTGTATACAATGAGTAATGTTTACATTACGGAGGACAACTCCTTTAGGTCTTGTTAGGGCACGCATACACACACACAGACATATAAAAGCTGTTAGCACATTTAGCAGCCTCTGCAGAAAAACCCATCAGCTACTTAGGGTCTGATCTATCCTTTTACCCTTAGCAAAGCCACTTCCAATTAGGATGTTTAAGAGGATATTCATGTTATCAATAATCCCTTCACAGCAAAGCAAACAAACAAAGCCAAAAAACCCTCCAAACAAACTGACTGCAAGCTGATGAGCTTTCAAGATGAAACTGCACTTCGCAGTTACTGCTGGGGAGAAGACTTGGGAACAGTTGCTCAAACAGAAGCTTTTTAGCATTCTGTCATTCAGATTGTTCTGTAAGCACTTACACATAAGAAACCTTATAGCAGGTCTAATTGTTTAAATGAGAATTAATAGTAAACATAGCTGGTTACTCCTATTTTAAATATAAGGATTTTAGTATTTTACTGTATATATCAGAAGCAAAACATTACAATCCCCCTTCTCCCCCTCCCCCGGAAAACCCACTCTTTTAAGATGAATTGTTGCAAATTCCCCTTTATCATTTACCACATGAACAATAAAAATAATTTTCATTCATCTTCTCCCACCCCCACCATTCCCTCTTCTCTTTGAGGGGGCACACTCATTCTACTCACTTAATGTTTACGATTAAAAGCATTATTGCAAAAACTGCATCTCAAACATTTCTCAAAAATATTTTAAATATCTGAAGTTATTTTCATCGTTTGTTAGCGGCTGTTTTAAAGGAACCAAAATTGGGGATTATTATTTTTAAGAAAGTGTAATAAGTACTTGAACTCAAAGGATACAGAGCTTTTCATCATCCTGAAAGGTGAAGTAGAGTTTCACAAAAAAAGGGTGATCCAGACGGGACATTACATCTCGCTCGCGTGTCACATATGGTACTTTGTTTTCTTTTATGATATGACGTTTTTCCAGAATTTTAACTTAATGAAAAAGACAGAGTGAAAATGCAGAGAAGCAGCAACCAAATGAAGTCTGCCTAAGCAAATCTGGGAATCCTTTTGTTAGATAAAATTAGCATAAAGTCCCTAATTCTTACTTTTGAACATGAGTTTCATAACACAACTATATTGATATAGTATCTTAAAAAATGTTCATGTTGAAGGAATCAATACTTACTGGCATATTCTCTAGAACTTGCCAGTTCTCGAGCCAAGACAACCTGTTGTGATAGGAGAAAAAATACAATGTAGCCATTTATTAAAGACACATAATAAAATTGATTTTCATCCGCCAGTAGGTATTTAACATACTCCTTGCCCAAAATAAACTACCACAACTCCAATCAGCAGAATATTTAAGCATGTGCTCATATTATGCTGGCTTCAGTGAGACCGCTGCAGAAATTCAGTTCAGTGTAACACCACTTGTTTTGCTAAAACACCTATAAACCTGATTGGGTAATCACTAATTTACATTTTGTTTACAGAAGAGTTCTGAAGACTGTAACATAAACCAGAGTAAATTGCTGAAGCTCCTTAAAGAAAAAAATACTTACAGTAGTATTTATAAATAAGTCAATTACCACAGTACGTTTTCATAATGTAAAGGATTTAAAAATAAAATGTATGTGAAAGATTAGAAGTGAGAAGCAAGACAGCTGTTAGATATTTACAGTTTGTTAGGAAAAACAGTTAAAGAAAGGGAATGAGAGCTTTCCAAATAGCAGAAGCAGGGGAGAAAGTTTCAAGTAAGTAGTTCTACATTTTTAAAGGGAAACATTTTTAAGAGGAATACAAATTAAAGTCTGTCTTTCAAGAAAGCAGCTCCATAAAAGGCAACTTTCAAGATAGTCTGAAAAATCCTCTTACCTGAATTCAAGTAATAACTTAGTAACAACACATTACAATAAGTTTTGGGTTTTTTTCCTCCTCATTTTAGGTTTCTAGTCATTCCAATACATTGTTAGAATGTCAACATTATGCAAAAATAAGCCTTTCATAGTGATTTTTTAAAAATTGTTTCTAATCCACTTCTCAATCTATGGGAAACATTTTTAAGAGGAATACAAATTAAAGTCTGTCTTTCAAGAAAGCAGCTCCATAAAAGGCAACTTTCAAGATAGTCTGAAAAATCCTCTTACCTGAATTCAAGTAATAACTTAGTAACAACACATTACAATAAGTTTTGGGTTTTTTTCCTCCTCATTTTAGGTTTCTAGTCATTCCAATACATTGTTAGAATGTCAACATTATGCAAAAATAAGCCTTTCATAGTGATTTTTTAAAAATTGTTTCTAATCCACTTCTCAATCTATTTCAATCACCTTGCAAAGTCAGTTACACAGAGTACTCCAAAACTGTATTCCATATACCTGATGTTAAACATTAGGTATTTCGGAAAAAGAGCTTCTAAGACCGACCTTTTCCAGGTCAATTGATTTTTCAAGGTGAAAAGAGAAGTGCATGCAGTTTCACTCTTCCAGTATTAGAAAAACAAAATCTTGGTACAGCATCAGAGGTACCTTTACTTTTCTAAGTAAGTACACCACATACAAACACATCTGAAGTTCACAGTATTTGATTTGTACTAGAAACAGCCAGTCTCTTACAAGCTGTGTCCTTACAGAAACAATTTTGGAAATTCTTCTGTGTACACCTTTAATATTTAAAGCTGTGCAATCAGACAAGAACGTTCAAAACTTTTCTAATTTTTGTTGCCAGGTTTCATCAATCAAGTTACTGTGAAAGTTACTGAGAACGGGTAATTTTTAAAATTCATTATTTAGTAAACAGCTAGATGGCCAGATGTATACTGCTAACTTTCTGCATTTTGGAAATGGATACTTTTACACGTTCCTAAAACTCCTCATTGTCAACAGTAAGAAAAATCCCCATCTGTAAATCTTGATCTTTCCTTCCTATCATGGACAGAGTCCATTGTCAGGTAGCAGAAGTGATTAGCTATTTGACACAGATGGAAAAATACCTCAGCTAATAACTCTCAAACCTGAATTAAGCTGTAGCGCTCCCAAAACTGATTGACTCCCATCCAGTCCTGCACTGCATGAAAGTTCTTACCACCAGATTTAAGATATGTTGTACATTATATATAGACATTCATACTGAGCAGCTGTGTTATATAAGTACACAGGATCAAAGATTTTCCTTAGGTACCCTTCTCAATGAAGGCATCTGAATATACCATATATTCTCAGTTTCTTCTAACTAGTAAGCCACAAAAAAAGTGGAATTACAAGAAAGAAGGGAGAACGAAGAGGTACATATTAACACCACATATGCTATCAGGGGCTTGAATCTCATCCACCCTACGGGAAGAAGTGATAGGAATAAGGAATGTAAGTCCTACAGAAAGGAATTAGAACAGATAAGTTAGCTGAAACTGAAAAAAAGATTCACAGAACATGTAAGCATCAAATTCAGGTAACAACAAAACAAGGGAAAATTTAGTTAAACTTCTCAAATTGGAGGAAAGCAAGATAAGAAGAACAGAGTCTTCAAGAGAAGGCTACAAAGCAGAAATAATGGCCAATATACTTGGCAAACAATGTCCAAGCCCAATTCTAAGTTTGAACAAATACTTCAGACTGCCAGAGATTAAGTCTGCATTTAACAACTGGATTTGGCCAAATACTCATAATTCTCTTAGAGCTCCTTCTTCTTTTAAGGGAAGTCTCATTTATAGGTGGAAACAAATCCAAAGAAAGAACATATCAGCCATCTAGGAGGTTAGTAGGATAGCATGCTTATCCAAGCATGAAGATTGTAATTCTACCATTAGAGAACAGATAGCCTTCAGTTCCTCTCAGAATAGTATCTACGAGGCAAGTACATTTTCACTACTTTAAGGAGTGCAGCAACAATGGGAGGGCCCAAAGGTAGAGTTTGCCCACATTTGTATAACTGCCTGTGTCAACCGTAGGTCTAAGGACAGTTGCCACTGCAAAACGTGCTGAAGAAAAACACCCTGGGGCTAGGTCATGTGCATCTCCGATGAATTCCAAATTTAGTACTGGCATCAGGCAGAGTCTATAGTAGTTTAATACAAGCCCAAGCAAATGGAATGGATTCAGAACAATTCAGAGTAAATGAAGTTTTTTTTTGTTTTCTTTTTTAAATGTCCATGTTACCAAGCTGTCATTGGAGGCACAGGAATATGAAGGCCCTTGCTTTTCAAGATGAGGACTTGTTCAGTCAGAATATTAGTGAGGAACCTGGGGAGCATAATCAGATCTCTGAATCTGCAACCATCTTTATTTAAAAAAAACAAAAAACAAACACAGACGCTGTCTGCAAGATGTTTTAATAACAACGTGAATATACATGCCCCACAGATCAACGGGTGCAAGCAAGTTTCCTTCTTGAAGGATGTAGGCTATGGACTGAAGGCTACCTGAGCTTAAAGTTTTAGAATTAAAAAAAATTCAATTGCTCAAGATTGGATTGGCCATTACTCCTCCTCCTCCTCTCCCCCCACCCCCCCTTTTTTTTTTTTAAAATAAGAAGCAGCAACTATTAAGTCCTCCTGCAACAGCTTGTAACCTAATCAACGGCCATGAAGAAAGAGCACAAGCAAGCATCTCCTGTGGAATTATCCCTGAAGAGAATAACTGAAACTGGTTGGTCTCAAGTGACATATCAAAACTGTTGAATTTCTAAAAATCATACACTGCAACAGTAAACCAGACACTGCTACGGTTGACAGAGGACGTGACAGGCAGGGAGAACTGTAACTCCTGAACATACTTTTATTAGCACTACCTGGGGCCCAGAAGACTGTGGTAACGGAACTTCAGCTTGTAAAAATCAAAACAGGGCTACATAGGCATTAACGTTTTCATGGTATTCAGTTTCTCCTGTTGCCCACCTAAATGCATTCAAGCTACTCCGGCTGGACTCAGGATGGGGAGGGTGTTCTGAATTAGGTTCTATGAATTTCTCTATTTACAAGAAACAGGATGATAACTTCCAGAGGATACAAGCAGAAACAGATTAAATCATCTCCCTGAAGCAGACTGTCACTGAAGGAGTGTGTTCCGTTATGCCCAAGAGGCAGCAATTCTGACAGGTTCTTTAGGTAAATCTGCAAGTTGGAAGTGACTACGCAATTAAGAGCAAATTCCTCTCAATGACTAAGATGCCTGCTTACTAAATACTGTACTATATCGATGGGAAGGAAAAATAAGAGAATTTTAGATCAGTCACCACAGACACATATAACAAGCATATAGAATTGAATGACAAAGATATGAAACGATTATTCATGGTCTTACAATGAGGGCAACTACAGGAGCATCAAATGAAAGTATTAGCTGCTTTATAGGTTCTATAAACAATACTTAAAGTAAATAATTTTTCTGAGATGCCATGGATGCCAGAAGTTTAAAATAAAATCCATCTAGAATTTCCAGAAGAAAAAAATCCATTTAAGATTATTAAACTACAAAGACACTATCTGTAGCTCACAAAGTCCTTGAGGCTCAAGGCACTAGAGGCTGCAAAAGAATGCTGGAGAAATATCACAGTTCTCACGTTCTTTATGCATCTGGCATTGGCTCCTATCACAGTTAGGGTACTGGACAGAATGTATGTTTCACTGGACTCAGCAAACAAACCCCGATATTAACTACAAGTATTCACATTCATGTTTCCCTAACTGAAGAATACTCCTTAGTATTGATGTGCTACAGACACTTTAAGCATGACATAGGATCACAGGATAATTCAAGCTGGAAGGGATCTCAAGTAATTTAGACAAACCTCCCGCTCAAAGCAGAGTCAGCTGTGAAGTCAGCCCAGGTTGCTCAAGGCTTTATCCAGCCTGGTCTTGAAAACCTTCAAGGATAGAAATGCAGTCTCTCTAGGCAACCTGTTTCAATGCTTGACTACCCTCATGGCAAAAAAGGTTGTCCTTATATCCACTCTGAACCCATTTAAAGGTACTACCATTGTCTCTTGTCTGCCCATCATGCACCACTAGTGCCTAGCTCCTTCTTCTTGATGGCCTTCTCACAGATACCAGAAACGTGTTGTAAGGGCCCCTCAAAGCCTTTTCCAGGCTCAGTAAACACAGTTCCCTCAGCTTCAGCTTCTCTGCATACGGCATAAGGACTAATGAGTGCTGAGCAGAGGATGTTAATCCCCTCTCTTGATCTACATGCTATGCTCCTGTTAATGTAGCCCAGAATACTGTTTGGCCTTCTTTGCTGCCAGGGCACGTTACTTGCTGCCAGGGCACGTTACAGCAAACTGAACACCAAGACACTCGGGTCCTTTTCAGCAGAGCTACTCCATAGCCAGTTAGCATCCAGCCTGTATTGTTGCAAGAGATTATATATACAAAGGTCCAGTTGAAACTACAAAAACAATCCTGCATTTTCACTGTGATATATATATCAAAGTACATTAGTAAGTGTACTGAAAATTTCTTATAAAGTTCAATAAGAAGTAAACAAAATAAGGTTGTATTTCAACTCCAGTGACTAAACAGTCTTCTATTCTCCGTCTTCTTAAAACAGAAAAATAGTAATAAAAATAAAAGTCTTACATCTCGACCATATTCCTTCTTAAAGTCCTTACCACAATATAAACCCCTAGCTCAGTTCCAGCCCTTCAGACAGTACACTCTTAACACAATCCTTTAAGCTATCAAGAAACTTACATTTGAAAACAATGTCTCCTAAAACCAAGCATCAAGTCTTCAGGACAGAACACAACTTTTGATGAGCTCAAAAGATAAATAAAACCCATCACCCTTATTCAGTGCAATATTTAATTTTAATACTTAAATTTAAGAACATTTAGCATCCTGCTCATTCACTCTCCAAGCTGTTTTCTCCGGATGAAAATCTTAGTGGCATTACTTGCATACCAAGTTTTGAAGTTTACCTAAGGTATTGGGCAGAGTAACAAGTAAAAACTTATTATAAAGTTACCGTAGAAAAAGATCCTTCACCCAGAATTTTCCCAAATTTGAAGTCATCGGGTCGTTTCTTTCGAGGTTGTGGAGGCTGCTGTCCTGTATGTTGCTGCAAGGTGTTGGAACTAGATCGTGATTCAGCTGCGGTGCCCTCCATGTTAGAGCCCTGTCTGCTGCCACAGGTGGAAATGACAGGTGGAGTGTTGGAATCTGGCTGGTTCCTCACCATTGATGGGGATGGACAGGAGCATAACACCACACTAGACTGGATTGGAACAGCATCATACTGAAAAGAGAAATCAATACATTATTCCCATACCTTGGAATAATTGCCTCTCACATCTGCACTTTGTTTCCATGCATGTCAGATAGAGCCCTGCTTTCAAGGGTTACCATAAAAACATCTCTAAGAGGGAATCTAAGCATTTATTTTGGAAATGTCAGCTCTTAAATTGTAAAATGCATAGAGACTCTGCACAAACACACATATAGCCATAGGCCAAAAGTCTGAAAGCTTGAATTAAAGAACAGTCTTTTCAAAAACTGTCCCTAACACCAAGGTATTAAATTTCAAGATACATTCTCCTATGAATAACATGCTCTTTAGTTCTTCATGCTTACAGACAGAGCCCTCCGTCCATCTTAGCAAGTATTTTCCTGAAACTACAACGCAACCTAGTTGCACAGTAAACACCTATATTCACTAGTCACATTAGGTTTAATGATCTAAGTTATAGCAAACTGTAAAATGAAAAAGTACATCATAAAAACATTAATGTACACAAAGGATACATTTCTACCTTTTCAAACAAAAGATTATAGTACTTAAATTGTACATATGGCTATATGAAGACATCCCAATTCCAAACAAAGAACCAGATATAGCCCAGAAATCAGCAAGTATAAAAATACTAAGAATACCAATTCTTGTAATGTACAAATAAAGTCATCATTTGGTACCTTTTTATCAGTTTTCCCCATGCAAGACCAAGCAAACTAGTCAAACTAACTTCCCTCCCTATGGGTAATATACCTCCATAAGTCTGTTGTGTGTCCGCTTCACATGTTTTGCTTGCAACTGGCCAGAAAGCGCAGGCAATACGAGAGCTCTGCTCAAACTTTTCTGACTGCAAAAAATTGAAGTGCAATGCAGACAGATGGAATACTTAAGAAAATTAACACCATATCTGGACATGGGTTTTTAAATTTTAATATTTTAACATACAGTCAGCAGAATGAAACAATGACTTAATCAGTATCTCCTCACCTCAAAAACAGGTGTATTGCACAATCCCGACCTAGTCTGTGACAGTTTGTGTTGCTAGTCAAATAAACATTGCTTCTAACAAAAAGAATTTTCTATTTCATGGGTTCCATTTTAATTCAGAACAATTTCCTGCATTTCTATCTGAACCCACTTTAGAAAGATATTGGACCTGCAATTCAATTGTGCACTTGGGTTTGAAGTACCTACCTCCAAAATGGAGGTTTAAACAATTATACATTTTGTGCTCTATGCAGTACAAAAAGGTAACCCTTATTTAACTGTTCAACTTCTTTCTTCTCCCCCCTAAAAGCTACAGTTCAGATATATACTTTATTTACTCATTTAGCGACACTACTTAAAGAAATGAGAAACAAACCTATTTCTAAGCATACAAGCGTATACTTTTTACATTCAGACTAAAGTAACAGGACTTTAAAAGTATTGTTAAAACTCCTCAAAGATACGCGACGTTCAATTTATAGAAGTCAATTCCTGCAAGATCAACTATTATTGTTGTAAACAGTATCTTCCAAAAAGCATAAGGGAAAGATTTTCTTTCCCATCTGAGTACAGCCTACTTGCTCCAAGATCTCTACTGCTCCTCTGGGCTTTTTCCAAGAACTAAAAGTAAACTGATAGGGCAGCAGATCAAGAACAGATAATAGCCTCTTTCATTAGACCTTGTCTGCGCTCTGTGATATAATAGAGACTGATGAAGAATCTGTCTATTGTGATAGCTACTTGTTATATTTTGTACAGCTTTTGTGAAGAAAAAGGGGTGGGGAGGTGGAAGGAACACTTAGACACAGATGGGGGGAGAATTCTGCTTTTTGAAAAGTTCATTAACTCTTCCAGAGAATTACAGGGATGTAGCATTCTTCTTGTTGGATGAGGTAGCCTCCGGAAAAAAAAAAAGTCTATTGATGCCATTATTATGAAAGCAAGATATACTTTAATGCATGTGAACTATGGGGCACAGTTCCTTTAATGCCTTAGTCTATCAGGTATTTTAGCTGACACTTTCCCCAGTCTATCACATCACTGTCCTTTACATTCTTATAGTTCAGTTAAAGCTCCTTTTCTTTGGACAGCTACTCAAATGACAGCCTGTATAAAGATATTATACAGTGGCTAGATTTCAAACAGGATTGTACACTCCTCTTCCCAGAGGACAGCAAAATACTCAGCATAAGCAAAACTGTTCCAACAATTTAAGTGATATTAAGAAAATCTCCATGAATTGAAAGAAAGTAAATATAAAACGTGTACATACAACAGACTAAATACTAGGATATAAATGATGAACTAGCTCTAATTAGGCTATCCTAGAGCAACTGAGGATGTCCAGGTAAACAAAACAGCAGCACTGTGGAAGATCCTTCTGCTAGCAAGACTGCTTGGGGGAATAGGGGAGCAGGTGGAACCACACACATGCAGAGATTATGGAGAAAATGAGAAGAGAGTTGCTGGATGCAGAGCACTTTTCTGAACAATATGTGAAATGAAGACAAGAATATCAAGTATAGACAAGTCCTGAGGGAAGAACAGAGACAGTACTAAAGGACTATGTAGGAAAATAGGGTTATTTCCAGCCAAGGTTTAGCTGAGTCAGTCAGCCCCTCAAAGGAAAGTCAAGATTAGGAGCAAGAAGGATTAAAAAAAGATGCAGAAGACTTAAAGTATCGATTACTCAGGAAATGACAAAACTATTCCATTTATGTAACTTATACTTAAACATTTACAGGAAAGGTCATACCTCTACTCACTTGACTTTCCATACTCCCCATATTCTTCTTCGGTATTAGGTCCTGCATTAATTGTTTTATTTTAAAAGATTCCTAAAAACATGTCCACAATGAATAAAAGAGCCTTTCTACATATAAGACTCCACACATTAGAGACAGAATACAGGCTAGATCACCCAGTCTAACCCAGTACAGCTATTCTTTTGTAAAAATCAGATTAAAGATTCTATTTCTGCACGTTCAAGGCATTTTACTGAGATAGCAAATCAATCATTCTGAAGAATTTAAAAACTTTCTTTACTGCATCTACTGTCTTCAAAAGCTTGACACTGCTCTCTTTCCAGCAAGGACTGACATTTCGCAGCTGACAACCAAGTGAAAACAGACCCTCCCAGAATGACAGCAGACTTGTTTCCCTCACCTATCGCACACCGTGGATCACCATGGACCATATACTGATATCCGCTGTTCTGCTCTTTCTAAACCTACTTTTAAAAATTGGTCCCTAATACTATCTCTTTTCCCAAGCTCTTATGGGTGGTGTTTCTAATTTATTTCCACAGACAAATTACTTGCTAAGAACTAAGAAATTGCATGCTGCAAGCTTGAAAATCTTGTAAGGGAAAATATAACAAGGCTGTGGAAGGCAAGGGGAATTATGGATCAACAGTCATGTCAAAAACTTCAATAACTAATTTTTGCTAAGTCACTAGTAACAGGATTCCTTTTATTTACATACCATGTGGAATATGTGCTTACATGGATCTTTTTCCCCTCTTCCCTGCAAACAGTAGAAGAACTATAAGAGAAGAAAACTTGAATCAATGCAAAAAGCCCACTAGTTATGACTACTTTATTGCTTTTATACTTTGCTCACTGCCCCTTCTATTAAAAGTCAGCCACAGGCAAAGCTCTCAGCTATCTAAAAGGACTTCTAGGTCTTGGAATCCTTTTCGCAATGCATCATTTCGGCAATAGCATTACCACTGCAACTTTTATTTTATGCAAGCACACAGTATGCATCAAACATAAATGCCATACTGCTCTAAAGCAAGTACAACCACAACAGCTACATCTCTGCTAGCTTTTTTCCATTGCAAATTTTGCAATACTGCTTTGTTGGTACAGTTCCACCAACAGAAATGGCTGAAAAAAATATTCATACAGACTGGGCCTTCCCAAGCTACCAGTGTCCTTTACTCCTATGCTCTCTGACGTGTTACTGACTACTAAAGGTAACTGACAATATCTTTGCTACCACTGAAACCATACTAGCAAAATCTCACTGCTGACAGAAAGGCTCACTGTGAATAAAGTCCTAGCCTAACGCTTATCTCCTACATAACACTGAGTCTAACTGCGGTCTTACTGAACCCTTCAGCTGTATTAAGTCATATGGCAGCAATGATCAGAAAAGCTCTTCCATTCACTTACCTACAGCCCAGTTCTTTTGGAATCAGATCTTGCTACCAGAAAGTTCTATTTACACAAAGCAACATGAGTGCCTCACCTCAGTTGGTACCCTTGTTTCGATTATAAACAAGGCTGATGAGGCTGAATATACTAGGAGGGTTGTGCCAGTGCTCTGTGCATGTTTCATGGCAAACTGTATTACAGGTCTACTAAACAAAATAATGCAAATAGACGCTCATAAGATATTTGGCTTAGCATTATGTAACATCTGAAATGCAGAATAATGTTCAGAAAAATCAATATAGAAAATATTCTAAGTAAAAATGGTTAAATTCTTAAACAACTTTAATAGTCATCACCAAACAAGAATCTCTTCCAGTGCACACCTAGACTGATTCTCAAACAAAAAAGTCTGAAAGAAAATAAGAATAACTGCATGAATTTAAAGACTGGGAGGAAAATATACCTACATACCACTTGGGCAATAAATACATCTGTTAAAGAGAGTCTGCATTCTTGGGTAAATTAGACAGTTAGCAAGACCTTGCTATTGTCTCTACCAGTACTACTACAAACCAAAACACAGTCCAAGAATTTAGGAGTCGTAGGGGAAAACAAGTGGACAAGATCGTCCAAAGACTGTAAACTAGTCCATCCCTGGATATACAGAACTAGAAAGCAGCAACTAGGAGAAGGCTTACTGCAGCTAGTACTAGGCAAACATTACGGAGAAAAACTAAACAAAACCAGTTTCAGAAGAAAATCAAGACACTGAGCCCCTGGGAAAAAACATCTACTCATCTGACTAGACTGAGCTCATGAAATCTTTGTTTAATAAAGAGTCTGACTGTCTTGGCTCTGTGGTGTCAGAGAATACAGAACTCTGAAAAGTAGCAAATTAGGATTACCTGCAATTCAACACAAGTCATACTGATGTAAGAATTACTGAGTGTTGTATGCTATATGTGTCAGACTAAATCGTAAGAAACTCACAGACTATCAAGAAGATAAGCCAATTCAAACGTGTATGCCCTACATCAGCAAAGTCTAATTGACAAATGATCTGATTCAGGAAACAACCTAGCAGTGCTCTAGGATCTACATGAATTACCCCTTCACTTGCAAGTGGAGTTTGAGAGGCTTTCAAAACTGATGCTATATAACACAGTATAAAATATCTTTCCCCCACTGTCCTAGCATCCAGTCACAGCTTGTACATCTCTGCCAACCATAGTCCTTTGATAGAAAAGCAGAAGAACGATCTTCCAAGAAGGATATTCAATTTATGTCCAAATTAATAAGCCGGTCTTCAGATCAGAACATGGAACCCATCAACTTATCTATGCATCAAAGGAGGGACAAAGACCTTTATTTCGCATTGAGATAAAGTATTTACTTTCACTGGACAGTGGTTTTCTAGTTTTAGTGACAAGTCAGCTTTATCTACATTTTTCAGTACTGTGATTCAGCCAAGGACAGTCAAAAGTTAGATAGGCTAGGTCTGATAGGTTGGCAAATTATTTTGATATTGTCATATAAGCACAAAATTCTGAAATTAAAGTTTATTTCATATTGCTTATAAATTAAACATTGAAAATGCGGGGCTTCCTAAGGATTTATCTGCAAAGTACAAAGGGAAAAAATGAACAGCCAGGTAGTTATATACATCCTTTCCATCATACACTGGTGTTTCAGAGGGTTGACAAAGATGCAGCAGCTGCATCCCCCATACATCTTATACCTGAAAAAGAGGATAAGAAGGGGCCATTAACAGATATGATGCTCAGCTATCCCATTGGCCTCCTCCCCCTCATTTTCCCAAAATGGAAATGTTTACCTTCTCCAGGCTCTCCAATGCCTATTTGTGATAGCCTCCACTGGCTAGAGTGCAACATGCCCACATAGTCTAAAAGAAGAAAAAACTCATCAGACACTCACTCAGTGAGTGAATGCCTGAATGCACGTCCTCAAACTATTCTTGTTAGTACCTAGAAAGAGAATTTAGGTAAAAGCAGCATGGTTCAGCTAGAAGCAGCCTGAGTTAAGACACAAAGAACCACTGATTCGGAATAACAAAATCCAACTAAAAGCCTTACCTTCCAGGGCAGAGAACACTGTACATCTGGCACTTCTCATTATATACCAATTCCTTCCAGGAATGGCTTGCAGGAGGAATAATGATTATCATGTGATCTTATCAATAAGATACATCTTCAGCATCAGCTTTCCCTTTCATAAACTCTACGTTGCTACACCAGAGTGACTGCAGTGAATGAAAGCAACCCAGAACAATAATAGCACGTTGTCATAACCTGTAGTAAACCAATTCTTGTACATTATATCTTGTCCACTACTTATGCTCTGGACCTTTTGCCTAGAAACGGACTATCAGACTTTCTGCTAAGCAACCTAGAGCATCCTCTTCCTATTAACTTCTTCATGTTTACGTGTGCGTACAGAAAAACTATACTACACAATTTTTTAAACTCTGTTGTATGCCAGTGTCCCATTATACCGGCTTAGATATTTGTCAGACAATTTAAAGAATTTAATAATAAATCTTTTTGTCAACACTACTATTACCATTAAGGAATTAAAATACTTGACTAAAGAAAAAAAGAAAATCCATTCACATGCCTTAACAAGTGTCAGCACATGCTGTCAGACTAAGTCTTGTGATTATAAATACAAAAGTCAAGCATGTGATGGATACCACACAACTCTGAGATTATGTCAAACTGCAGCAATGTTTATGTTTATTCTGAATGTATTACAAAACCAAAAAGCTGCTTACTCACATAATAGGTTAACTTTGACACTCAAAAATGTACAGCCATATAAAAACAAAGGTAAAACACTACAGTAATTGGAAAATATTACAAACATGTATTCTGCTCACACTTTCAGCCTCATAGAAGATTACAAGCCTCCCTATCCTGGAAGGCACACCACTCGACTGGAACAGTAAGAAAATCAGAACTAGAAGCATGCCTTCAGATTGTGAAATCGACGAAAAGAATGCCAAGGGCTTTACAGAACAACAGTCAATCTTTATATACTGAAAATAAGAAATACATATATTTTTAAAAATCAGTAACTAAATAGTACATTGACAAATTCCTAGGGCTTTTCTGGAAAGAAAACATTAAAATCTTATTTCCATGAGTTATCTCTGTGCAGCAAAGATCTCAAAAAGTAGAGTTAAAACACTTCATCAAAACATTTCCATTAAAGTAGGGATATTAAAGCAAAAACAAAACAAAAACTACACTCTCTCTCCAAAAAAACAAGGCATTTATTAAAATTGTATTAAGTCACAAAAATGCCAATTATATTTCCCCTGGACAACAGGATGTTTTTTCTAGAGAGAAGTTCTCTGAAGATCATATTAAGCTGAATTCTTCAGGTTGCAGTAAACAAAGCCCATTCCAAGTCATTGGCTCTCAGTAGATATAAAACAGTATAAAATCAAATATTTATCTTCTATAATACAGTGATTTGTGTTTATGCTGTGTAGAGCTGCATCAGCACTCTTTCAAATCTCATCTTCAAATAGCATGTAAATATTAAGGTAGAGAATTTAAAATCAAGCTCATAACTCAGATTGCTTATTAACTCCATGTATCTTGAAAAAATGTGACTGTTACAGCTAGCAAAACATCAGTTTGTCTGAAGCTAAACAATTTACCAAAATTTATATATTTTGATCAAGTTTCCATTCTGAAGGTTCATAAATGGCTAACAATTGCTGCATTTAAAAGAATAGCATTGAAATCTCATGTTTCAGTTATAAAAGCTATTTTAACACAATTTTGTTTTGCAAGAGAGTTTGAAGTTGCATAAATCTATCTCGAATTAAATTCTTCGATCTCAGAAGCTGTCATGTGACAAATATGTTGCTTAAAAGGCAGCTCTTACATATAAACGACATAACTTCCTATATATATATCAGTTATATAAAAGGAGGGGGTTTTTTTGTTTGTTTAAATTGACTGCTATGACAACTGTCTGATTAAACAAGTCTAGGCTGTGGCCCACCAGAGCAGCTATGGTCACCCTCATGCACAGTGTTACTAACTCAGATGAAATCACTCCAACACACTGAAGATAACCATGCAATCAAGCACTAGCACTGTAGAAACCTGGTCCAAGATAATTTCTATCAAAATATCTTGATAGAAATCAGTAGCATTTAAGAGAAAAGGACAACTTGTTTGAGAATAATGCCCTGGTATTGCATTTCAAGATTAAAGATTACGAGTATCAACGAAAGTAGTAAGCCTGGAGCAGGCAGTTCTTCAAAGACACCGTCCTACCTAAATTGGCTGGGAACTTCAATAGTGGAAAGCAGAGGTATGCAAAAAATTCAAGATGATATAGTCTGCTCAATATATTAACAGTGCTAATTCAATTTAAAAAAAGTTATGGTAATATGGAGGCAAGGTTGAGAATACTTGCAATAAATCCTAAGATACAGTAATTATCTCTAACAATATATAAGCCCTAGCTAAACCTGACATAATGCCATGCTGGAATAACCTATCAGAAATTGATTGGAAACATTTTTTTCAGAGACTTTTCTTTGTTTTACTGCCCAGGGAACAAGTAGATTGTTTAAAAAGTCTTTGATTATCAGTTTTGTGTCTCAGGTTTGAAATTCAGTCTTAGAGGATACTACAAGTCTTGTATTCAAAGCTACCTGTTCCTCTAGAAGTACTCCACAACATGAATTTTGAAGGGATGTTTCCAATCTACTTAGTCTGTCTGCATGTATGCTCTCAGAAAGTTCATGGCGTATAAAGAAGTGGTTTTAAGTTTGGGGAAATATACAGTTTTGTTCATATAAAAATCCCCCAAAATAAGAAAGAAACCTCAGCTCTGATACCTTGACTTCCATTTTCTTAATAATTGAACTGATCACCTACCATCAGCCCTTTACTTTCTGCAGTAAATCTATAATGCAATTTATCCATCAGTGAATAATGAGGAAATCGGATTCATGTAATAGCAGCAATGTAACTCATGGAAAGGAGAATTCGGAAGCACAGAGAACACTTCTACATTGTTAGAATTGTTTTGATTTTTCATTGAGGGAATAAAGGTATTTTATCCACAAAACTGATTTTGTTTCTACTAAAATGAATTTGTTCCTCATATTGAGCACATTGTTGACCCAAACTTTTTAGTCAAGGCAAATTATTCTTTCTAAACTTGATAGCCTTACACACATGCATGGCATTTCCTGTCACTAATTTCCAGGATTCTAATTCCAAGTTCAGGTAAGGATTAAAGCTAATGAAAGGATTTGTGAGAATCTGCATACCAGCCAGTTACCCTCTAACCTCCTCTACAACTAGGCAAAGCACTTAAGTTCCAAGCACCTTCAGGGCCAGAGACTATTTAAGGCCGCCGCCGCCC